AGGTGGGGTGCAGAACTCAAATTCTAGTAAGAAGACCAGACTTAATGGTCTGAGACTGGAGGAACCCCAGAAAGCATGGCCCCCGGATTCTCTACCAGCCCAGAACTAAAACAATTTCCGAGGCCAACTCATCAGACAGGTATTGGACTGGACAGTGGGACATAAAGTGATACCCATGAGGAGTGTGCCTCTTAGCTCAAGTAGATACAAGAGACTAAACAGGCAGCTTCTGTCGGGAGGTGAGATGGGAAGGCAGAGAGGGTTAGGAGCTGGTTGAATGTTCATGGGGAATCAGGTGGAAAGGAGGAGTGTGCTGTCACAGTAAGAGGAGAGTAATTAGGGTTACATAACTGTATAAATTTGTGTATGGGAGACTAACTTGAAATGTAAACTTCATTTAAACTACAATTAAAAAAAAAAAATGAAAAAGTAAGCCACTGATTGCAGTCTTCAACAAGGCAGTTCACTCCATGTTAGTGTATTTTCTATTCCAAGATTGTTTTTACCTTCATCCACTTAAAATGTTTAATCTTGGCAATAAATTTAGGTTTGCTGCAAGTTCATTATTTTTCATAAAGACAAATGTCTAGTAAAACGCTAATATATGGTCTTAGTGAAATATTTTACTTTCTTTTGCCAAAGGAGAACTTAAAAAATTAGAAAGCCTGTCACCTATCTCTACCACTTTATGTAGCCCTGCCTGAAACCCAGAGCCCAGTAGCTTGTTAGGGGCCAATCCAGAAAAATCCATATCGCCCATCTGAGTTACCACTCTTGCTCTGGTTTCCATGGATTACCAAAACCAATCTATTGAAAGAATTGTGGTTTGAGGGAAGTTTTTCCAGAAACCCAGTGATGAAGGCATTTGGAGATTTTGCACTGTTAAGAAACCCATAGCTGTTGAGTCAGTAGAACTGCCCCATAGGTTTCCAAGTCTGATGGATTCAAAATGCCAGCCTTTTGGTTAGCAGCCAAGCTCTTAACCACTGTGCCACCAGGGCTCTGCATTGTTAAGTGTCTAATTATTTGATCACCTGGAGCATTAGAATTATCTCTTTAAAAAATTCAGCTAGGGCTCATTCATTTTCCTTGTCAAATTCACTGAGCCAGAGTTTTCCCAGTAAATTCACCAGGTGATGAGGCCAGTTGTAAGGATCAAGCATGCCCAAGAGTTCCCAATGCTGGAAGAGCCGTGTGGGCAGGGAGGCACCTGAGCTGGAAAGGAGGGCTGGATGGCAGCTGGGGGCAGCTTGGACTCCTCGTTTAGGCTCCTTGTCATGCCTTTGGGCCGCAGTTCATGTGCACGTATGTGGGTCATTCCTTGTTCCCATGACCTGTGTGGTGCCTTGTCAGGCCTCCTGTAGCCTAATGGGCTCATGTGTCCACATTGGTTGTATTTTTCTATGTTGGATTTTTGTCACCCCAGTATCAGACCTCACTGATCTTCCTCGCAGCTCATCACCCATGTGGCACGTGGTCCTCAATACTGAAAGATTATTTTGTCTCTGAAACCAGTTGTTGATCTTATTAAACATCTTTTTTTTTTTTTTTTTCGATTTATTCCAACCCCGTTCACCCGTGTCCTTCCCATGTTGAGGTTGAGGGGCTAGAAGCGGGGTGCAGCGCTCTGTGTAAAGAGCCTTGTTTCCTGTTCCTAAGAGGTTTCAGCCTCAAGTTAGGCTCTGAAAAGGGAAAACCTGTCTCTCTGGGGAACACTGGCAAGGAGCTCTGGATGGGGTAGGTGGAGCACAGCGAGGCCATGGAATCCCACTGCCATCGCTGGGGGCCTTGCCAGAGCAGTAACAGTGGCATGTGGTAGCAGCTGTAGAGGGGTAGGAAGAGCAGTGGGTTGCAGGGAGGTCCTGCCAGACACCTGGGTGGAAAAAAAAAAAAAGGATAGAGACCCAGAAATTACAAATATGATACAATTAGTAGACTGGGCATTAAACAGTTCAAGAAGGTAGAGGAAAGATTGAGCATGTTAGCTAAAGATAAGGAAAATATTTTAAAAAAGACAAATTCAATTGCTAGAAGAAAAATGCATATCTGCGATGAAAAATACACTGGGTTAGACATTGCAGAAGAAAAGAGCCATGAATTTGAAGATATAGCAATAGAAATAATCCAAGGTGAAACAGAAAAAAGACAAAAACAAAACCCCAGAACTTCAGTGAACTATGAGTCAATTTCAAGCAGCCAAATATACCTGTAATTGGGGTGACCAAAGGAGTGGGGTAAACAGAAAAGCAGAAGAAATGACTGAAAATTTTCCAAATTGATAAACTATAAACCCACAGATCTAAGAAGGTCAACAAAGCCAAAGCACAATGACAAAACTACACCAAGTCACATCAGAATCAAATTGTTTAATATCAGTGATAGAGCAAAACTTTTAAAAGCAGCCAGGATTTAGGGAGAGGGTCCTCCTTCCACCTTCCCACAAAATGTTCTCCCACTGGGAGAGTTGACAGTGCTGCCCACTCCCTGTATGAGCCACCTTGTCAAGGCTCCCGTTTCTCACCCTCCCCCATTCCCCTACTCCCAGAGGCTTAATTCTGAGGAGAGGTAACTTTGCTGTGGCTGACACAGGAAGGAAAAGATGGAATTTTTTACTTCTTGGGGGAGGTTTGTCCCAAGCCTCAGTCACCACGCCGGGGCACCTCTAAGACAGCTACAATAGATATCCTTCCCAGACAGGCTGTTCCCCTCTCCAGTGCCCCCACCATGGCTCAAAAGGCTGGAGACTCTTTGGTAAAGAGTTCCCCAGCCTCCGCTCCCCTGGAACTGAGGGGGGGGGGTGTGTGTGGCACACCAAGGAAGGATAAGCAGGTAGCCATGTTTTGGGGACATGAACATTTTAACAATTTTTGCTGAATTCCTTTACATCTTTTTTACAACTAAATAATGCAGATTTGTTACTAATAAAATTGAAAGAAGGAAAGAAAAATAGACAACATACAGAGAAAAAGAGGTTAGAGTGATAGCAGATTTTTCATTGCAAACAATGCAAGCTAGAAGACAATAGAGAAGCATCTCTAAAGTACTGGGGGGAAATTGTCAAGCTAGAATTCTATATCTAGAGAAAATATCAAAGACGAAGGCAAAATACTTTTTTTCAGGTGCATAAAAGCTGAAGTCATACCAGCAGACGAGCACTACAAGAAATTTTTAAGGAATACTTCAGGCAAAAGAAATATGATACCAAATGGAAATGTGTCTACACCAGAGTTTCTTAACCTTGGCACTATTGACATTTGGGGCTGGATAATTAGTTGAGGGGGTTATCCTGTGCATTATAGGATGTTTATAGAAAGCATGCATGTCCTCTACTCACTGGAAACCCAGAAGCACCAAAGTTGTTTCCAGACATCTCTGAGTATCTACTGGAAAGTAAAATTCACCCCCCCCCCCAGTTAAGAATTACTGTATTGGATGGCTGTCTCTTTGCTTTCATATTTTCCATCTCTTTATCCTTTTGAGCTAAAATCTGAGAGAATTCCTAGGCTCAGGCACTTAGCTCACCAATTCACTTTTCAGCTATGTCCATCCTGCTATTCAATGCATATATTGAGTCTTCTTCTTCTTTTTTTTTTTAAGCATTCAGCTGCTAATCAAAAGGTTGGCAGTTCAAATCCACCAGCCACTCCTTGGAAACCCTATGGGGCAGCTCTACTCTGTCCTATAGGGTCGCTATGAGTCGGAATCCACTCGATGGCAACGGGTTTAGTTTTTGTTTTTTGTTTTATTGAGTCTTTTTCATTTCAATCAATAGTTTTCACATTCAATATCTCTTATTTTGTCATTATTCCTTGTCTTGTTTCATAACTGCCTGTTCTTTTTTTTTTCTTAATAAAGTATCCAGTTACCTCTCTGCAGATTTTTATTTTATTAAAAGTGTATTCTGATAGCTCTATTAATTTTTTCCCAAGGTGTGAGTTCTATTCATTTCCTTTGCTATCTCATTTTCATGAACTTAGCATTCCCCAAATGATTGGTGAGTATTGGGCATATAGCTTAGTAGTTGAGACAGCCTGCTAGTAAGTGGAGGGGAGGCAAAATATGTAGCCAGTTGGCTTACCTCAGCAACTTGTCATCTGTATGTGAGTACTGTTTCTTCTAGGTATCACCAGCCATGTGGGGCACTTCCTTGTCTCTCTTCTTCACCCCTACACTCACAATATCCATCTGGAGACACAAACTTCTCTTATTGCTGCCTAACTGGTACAAGATGAATCACTTGTAAGCTGCCCCTGAGCTCCTTTCAATTCCCACCTTTACACATTGCATTGTGTGTCCCAGTACTATTCTCCCATTCAAGTACTGATTGCAGTAAATGAAGTGACAGGCCCCTGCTCTCACGGAGATTACAGTCGTGGGGGAGGGGGCGGAGGAGACAGATAAAAGCATTTAAGTGCAAACCCAGACAGTGAGGTGACCACAAGGGTGCCTCACACAGAACCCGCACCCTTCTTGCCCAGCTCCTCCTGCTCATTTCTAACGTCCAGGTCTACTCACGTCTCGGCCCCGTCACATCCGGGTCTCCTCACACCCCAGCCCCCTCATGTCCTGGCCTCCTCACGTCCAAATCGGCCAAGCTCTCGGCTAGACCACTGATTGCTGGGTCGCTGCCCGTGGGGCGCTCTACCTGAAGAGCGACGCTCCTAGGGCCCTCCTAACGCGCTCTGCAGGCCGGAGCAGTGAGAAGCGAAGAGGAAGAGGAGGCTCAGCAACTCCGGGTAACTCACACGAAGACTAAGTCAGAGCTCCCGCGCGCTCCTACCAGCGGCTCCGGCTCCGCCCCTCTGTGACGTGCCCGGAGTGCCGCCCGCCCTCCCAGTCACCTGACCTCGCGCAGCCAATCGGCCGGCGCCTCGGGCCCCGCCTCCCTGGCAGAAGCGCGAGGATTGGCCGGACATGCGCAGCTCAGCCAATCCGATCACCCCAATCTCACGGCCCCTGCTGCCTCCGCGCCGGCCCCTCGGCGGCCCTCAGGCCGGGGAGGTAGGCCTGTTAGGGCTTCGCTGGCGAGCAGAGTGCAGGCGGAGTCGGGATGGCGGCAGCAGCGGCGCCAAGGAGAGACGTGCAGGGGCCCAGAGAGGAGAGCCCGCCGGAGAGGTGCGCCGTGAGGGCGGCCAGCTCTGGTCACCCTTGGGGCCCGTGGGGATGCAGCAGAGCCGACGTCCAGGGAGGTCGAATCAGTGTGCTGGCCGCAAGGACGGTTAGATGCGTGGAGCGGCCTGGGAGAACTCCCTGAGAGGGGCTGATTCTTAGGTGACAACCCATCCCTGCAAGAACTGGGGAGAGCTTGGCAGGAGGATCTGTAACGGCCCGGGGGCCGAAACGAGCCTGCTGGGTCCATGGCAGCCTGGAGGGCCGACTTGTGTGGTTGGAGAGGACTGGGCTTGGTGGGGGTGCTGCCAGCGAGATAACGAGCTGAGCTCAAGGTTTATGCTAAGGGTGACGGGGGCCATTGGAGGTTTGAGCAGGGAGTGATGTAACTTAATTATATTTTAAAAGACTCCTGGCTGTTTTGTGGAGAGTAGGGTACGGGTGGGTGTGGGAACGGGGGAGGAAGCAGGGAAGTCAGTTGGTTACTTTTCTAATAATCCAGGAGGGAGTGGTATCTTGGACTGTCCTGGTGGCAGTGGAGGTGGGGAGAAGGGGGTGTACTGCAAACGGATCCCACAATTTATTGAAGCAGTGGGTGTAGATGAAATGAGTATTATTAAGGATGTTTTCTAGGCTACTGGCCTGAGCAACGGAGAAATGGGGTAACCAGTACAAGAGAGGGGGAAGACAGGAGGTGTACTTCCTGTCCATGCTGCTTCTTAAACCTCCAGGAACCATATCCCCCGGGGGGGGGGGGTGTGTGCAATTTTGGGTATATGAGTTTGGGTTTCTTTCCCCAACTCAGGAATAGGCCTCTACGCAGCGCCAGAATATCAGGAGTGTGTGTGTGTGTGTGTATGTTTAGAATTTGGGTCCAGGCCTAAGTCAGACCATCTCTCATTAGGCAGTCTACTTAAGTTGGGACAGAGAGAAGAGAGCTGGAAAAATGTCCCCTAGTGGACGAGTGGAGAAGGGATTCCAATGCCTTTTTTATTATTTTTTTGGTAGGAAACAAAAAGAGCTTAGTTTTCCCATCTGATATTGGTAGCACTTTAAGAAAATCCCAAATAATGGAGCAAAACGATATGTAAAATATTCATCTGTGATTCAAGCTATAAATTAGCTTAGCAATATAACAGATTGAAAAGCTTTCATTACCCAGCAAACACTAGCTAGCTCGAGGTAGTTTGGGGTACTTATTTACGGGAAATGAGAGCGGATGTAAGTGCACATGCAAAGTCACAGCAGGACTAGGAGATAATACCCGAGTTGCAAAGGATGGCTAGTCAGACTTTCCAAAGCCTTGTACCTATTGGTTGATTTTGAACATTTATAGAAAAAGTGCATTTAAACTAACATATATTTGACCATGCTGCATGATTTAAAAAAAAAAATAGCCAACTGTGCCTTAATAGCCGTGGTTAATACTTGTATTAGAGTTTCCATGTGATTGGTTTAAACACCATTACTGATGTAAAAAATCAGGTAATATAGTTAATTGCATCAGGCAGGATTACCTATTGTATACATACAGTGTTATAGTTTCTGAAGGTTTGGTGTTAGTAAAGAGATATACAGATAAATTTTACTGAGGGCTCTCAGTGAATTCATATATTCTGTGACATTCTCTTTGTCATCTGATAAATTGAGCCCCTACCTACTATGGAGCCCTCGTGGCATAGTGGTAAAGAGCTTGGCTGCTAACTGTTCTAGGGTAAAAGCATCTCAAAGTTTAGTAAAGCAAAAGAAAGTTTTATTCAGCATATATTCAGAAAGGCAAAAGTGAGAAAATGGACAAGCATACTGCTAGAGCCATGTCTGCCTGAGTCCAAGGAAATATTACAGAATAGACAAGAGTGGGAAAACGTACAAGTATGCTGCCGCAGCCATGTCTGCCTGAGTCCGAGGAACATTACAGAATCATCAGTATATATTAACATCGCATATGGCTAAAATCATTGAAAGCTTCACCTTTTCACAGATTGGCTAGAAACTGTGATCCTACATTTTGAATTGTCTCTCTTAACAATCATTGGTACAGGTTTCAGTATTGACAGTCAGGAGCGTCTTTGTTGGTCCAACAAATCTCACTCTTTACTCAATGCTAACAGAAAAAGATAAGAGGGAAAAGTGTGAGGATCTTTTGTGCTGTGTTTTATCAGTGTATGTGAAAGATTCCCTAAAAGATGTTTTCCAAGATTGTCTTAGCTATTGTCTTTATACCTCAGAGCCCAGTTTATGTGTCGTTGTGGATCCAGCTCCAGCTGGGTCACATTCTAGGACAGGGAATAATGGCTCCAATATTATCTCCTAAATCATAACCGAATGTCAGCAGTTCCAATCCACCAGCTGCTCCTTGGAAACCCTATGGGGCAGTTCTACTCTGTCCTATAGGGTCACTATGAGTTGGAATCAACTCGATAGAATGGGTTTTTTGGTTTTACTATGTGCCAGTCATTGTTATCAGTGTGGGGGATGTATCAGTATACAGAACTGACAAAGCCCATGCATGTATGGAGCCCACATTGGATTACATTCTGTTGCTGTAGACAATAAACAAGGAGCAAATCTAGCATGTCAGGTGATGACGTGTGGTGTGAAAAAACAGAGGGAAGGAGATTGAAAACCCAACCCAACCAAACCTGTTGCTGTGGAGTAGATGGGCTGAGTGACTGCAATTTTACATAGAGCCCTAGGGAAGGTCTTACAGGGTCAAGTTGGAGCAAAGACCTAAAGAAGTAAGGTGGGGGCTGAGGGTGGGGACTGTCCAAGGGAACAGCAAGTGCAAAGCCTGCCACTCCGAAGGCTGGGGTGTGGGAGCAAAGTGAGGGATGGGAGAGTAGGGGCACTGGGTACCCCTGGGTATCGCCTAGAAGCTCGCAGGTCGTTGTAGGAAGAGGGACTGGGAAAACTTGGTGAGGCTAAAAAGCAAACAGAAAGAGCCCTGGGGAATGTGTGGCCCCGGCCAGCGATCTGTCCTTTATAGCAGTCAGGTCTGTGGCTCAGGCCCAACAGACCATTAAGCCTTCTAAGCCACAGAAAATAATTTTGAAAATCTAGATGGACTGTCCAAGGATCCCTGGTGGCACAATGGTTAAGCACTCAGCTGCTAACAAGAAGGTTAGCAGTTGGAACCCACCCAGCGGCTTCCCCGGAGAAAGACCTGGTGATCTGTTTCTGTAAAGATTATAGCCTAGGAAATCCTGTGAGGTAGTTCTACTTTGTCGCATGGGGTCGCTATGAGTTGGAATTGAGAGTTGGCAACCAACAACAGTAACAACAGAAAGAAGTCCTCTATCAATTATAAAGGAAGCTGGCAAATACTAGAACGCTGGGAAGTATGTATCCATTTCCCATGAGTAGGGAGGATTTGGAAATTGCCCAGTGAGCAATGCAAAGAAGGACCTCCTTGGGCATTATTTGCTCCTGTTGATGTGATAGACCAATAGCAGCTGTGTTTCTATTCCACATTCATTAATTCATTCCTTTTCATTAACACAACTTTGTTTTCTTTCCCTAAGGAAAGTTTATATGGACTACAATGCAACCACTCCCCTGGAGCCAGAGGTTATCCAGGCCATAACAGAGGCCATGTGGGAAGCCTGGGGGAATCCCAGCAGTTCTTACCCAGCAGGTAATTCCAGATGAAGCCCACAAGCAGGTGTTCACTGAAGGGAGGTGATGGGAGACAGCGGCCCTTCGGAGAAACTGCATACCCGTATGATCATTTTGTTTTGAATAGGTTTTCTGTTGATGTCAGATCTTTAGCTGTAATTTTTGGTAGTATTTTCCTGAGAAGTCCAATTTTGTAAGTTGAGCCTTGCTGTAACTGGACTGTTCCAGGCCTGCTTTGCTTGGCCATAGAGACATGAAAAGCGGAAGAAGCAGCTTTATTTGGTTGACCAAGCAAAGGAGCACACCGGGACTTTCATCAGCAAGATGGCTTCCAGAACAATAGCCCAAGGGGTTTATATGGGTGAAGTAAATCGGGTCTGGGGTCTTCAGGAACGCCTTGAGGTAGGGCCACCTTGCTGATTGGTCTGGCCTGAAAAGGCATTCCTGCAGCAGTCCGGACTTTCTGCACTTGCTCAGTCTAAAAAGGGGAGGGGGTCTCTCAAACCGGATTTAGGCTCGGACCCCTCGCTTCTGAAAGCCTTCCTCCAATTTTGGGCTGCTAAAGTTTGATTCTGTCCAGTGGGAGAAGAGTTCCGGGATGACCCGGAGAATGGGGGGGCGGGGGGAGGGCAATGGTTCTGCACATGTCAGGCAGGCCAGATCTAGTTCTTGCCAGTTTCAGCTGGTACTGCGACCCCAGTCTCTTATTTTCCTCAACTTGACCAGAAACAGGAAGCATACCTAAATAAGGAGATAGCTTAAAGACGGGGAGTTACTTCCTATATCATAGAAGATGGCAGGGACTGTCCTCTGCTTATTCAAGATGGTGGGCAGGCTGCTGGTCTCATTGCTTATACCATAATCTTTATCCTGTATAATCACAGGCTCTCTTGTCTGCCTTTCCCAGATGAGGGAGATGTCTTACGGAGAGTTACTTTATAACAATACCTATTGAAAGCCTTTCGCAGATCTATCTCAGTCAATCCCTATAAAATTTGCAAAATATATCTTAAATCTTCATCATCAAGATCACATATAATCCTGGGTTTTTTTTTTTAAATAATAACTGTCTTTAAATTCTTTACCTTTAGTTATAAATATACCTGTTTTTAATTTATTCTTGGTATAAGTAGAAATATAATATTTTAATGTTAATGTATAACATTTATTGGCGCATTAAATTGGAGGCTTTAAAACATATTTTGCTTAATTCAGTACAGTCATATGTCACTTAACGTCCGTGACACATTCTGTGAAATAGGACGCTATATGATTTGGATGTTGTGCAAACACCATTTTACAGGCTGTCCCCGAGCTACAAACGTCTTACAACAACCCCTACTTAAGACCTGACTGCCATAAAGCCTGTTGTAGTAAAAATTTGAGTTAAATACAATGGTTCTGCACTACTTTGTGACGCTCATGAAAACATTGTGTGGTTTGGAAGCGTTTCATATGCATAGAAAGGTAAAATATATACTATATAGTAAGACAAACATTTAACTGATGCTAAATAAGAATCATACGTACCTATTGCGACTTACTTACAAACTCAAGTTAAGACAGACTTAGGAATGGATCTCGTTCATAGCTCGGGGACCGCCTGTATATACTTAGCAAAGCTATATGAGGCCACATGTGTATATATATGTGGTTAGACGTTGCCCGAACAGATGTTATGTGGCACATGACTGTAGTTTTATGGCAGAATTAAATTATGTTTTTCAGAAGGTTAGGGTAAGAACCTGAGTCTTAACTTTCTTAATGTTTATTAGGGATAATTAAGATATAATTAATGTGGATTATAATTAATTGCAATAACATTCCAGCACAAAACTGCCAAGCCCTAGGATTTAATAATAGCTATGTACAGCTTTTATGGAGCCCTGGTGGCACAGTGGTTAAGAGCTATGGCTGCTAGTCAAAAGGTCAGCAGTCTGAATTTACCAGCCGCTCCTTGAAAACCCTATGGGGCAGATCAACTCTGACGGTAGGGTCGCTTTGAGTCGAAATCGACTCAACGGCAATGGGTTTGGTTTTTTGGTTTATGTACAGCTTTACAATTTTTGTTTTTAATTGTGCGTTAGGTGGAAGTTTACAGAGCAAATTAGATTCCCGTTCAATAGTTTGTGCATAAAGTATTTAATGGCCTTGGTTTCATTCCCCACAATGTGTCAGCATTCTCCCGATTTCTGCCCTGGGTTCCCAGTTTACTTTTGTCTGGATTTTTTACCACTTCCTGTTTTTTCATCTTTGCTTTTGGGCAAATACTGCCCTTTTGATCTTGTATAATTGATTGTTCCAAGGAGCACGTTCCTCTGGAGCATTACTGTTTATTTTATGGGCTTGTCTGTTATTTGGCTGGAAGGTAGTCTCTGGGAATGGCTTCAGTTCCAGGTCAGAAGGGTGTCTTAGGGCCATAGTTTTGGGGGCTCCTCCAGTCTCTGTCAGACCACGAAGTCTGGTCTTTTCTGTGAATTTGATTTTTTGTTCTACAACTTTCTCTCGCTCTGTGCAGGACCCTCTGCTGTGATCCCAGTCAGAGCTGTTGGTAGTGGTAGCCAGGCAGAATCTAGTTCTCCTGGTCTCAGGGTTCACGTGGTCTATCAGTCTTTTGGACTAATTGCTCCCTTGAGTCTTTGATTTTCTCCACTCTTCTTTGCTCCAGACAGGAAGAAACCAATAGCTGTGTCTTAGATCCTCTCTCACAGGCTTTTAAGACCCCAGATGCCACTCACCAAAGCTTTACAGTTTTTAAAGTGCTTTCACATCCGTTTGCTCATTAAAAGTTTCACAGCAACTTGATAACTAAAACCTTTTTCAAAATCAGCAACTAGTCGTTAATTTATTTGTTGGTTTATTTGGTACACATATTCTGGCTATTCTTCTCAACCTTGCCTAGTATCTAATCTCTTCTCCAGTAAAATTGAACTTTCTGAAGCTTTAAACTTGAGAATATGGAAAACAATTGAATGCTGCTCAAAGGCATTCTGTCACGAAGGAGTGACTCCAGGGAGAAATAATGTTTTTGAGCTGAAGCCTGTCAGTGGCTTTTAGGTTATCTGACGGCCTTTATTTTCACAAATTAGGAACCATAACTAAAAAATTGCATTGCAAAGCACTCTTCATACCCAGGTAGAAATGCAAAAGAAAAAGAAAATCATCTTTATGATAAAAACCCAAACCCAATGCCGTCGAGTCGATTCCGACTCATAGCGACCCTATGGGACATAGTAGAACTGCCCCATAGGGTTTCCAAGGAGCAGCTGATGGAGGCAAACTGCTGATCTTTTGGTGAGCAGCCGAACACTTAACCACTGCACCACCAGGGCACCTAGGATGGTTTAATTACTTTCACAATATGATGATTTAAAGTCCTTGGGAGAAATTTGTTTTAAGGAAAATATTAAAGATGTGTGGGGAGATTTTAGATAACCAATATGTTTATCACAGTCTTGCTCATAATAGAAAAACAAAAAGCCAAAAGGGGGGAAAAAAAAAACGGAAAATAATCTCAGTATTCGTCAGTAGAGGACTGATTACATAGAGTACGATGAAACCCTACGGCGGCATTCGGGGCCCTGTTAAAGCGATGCTGTGGGCTATAGCCACTACATAGAAAGATAGTTTTGGCATCTGGTTCAAGTGGATAGGCATGTTATACAACAGGATATGCGATATGATTTGATTTTTCCCCCTTATGTACCAAAGAAAAAACTGTGTGAGAAAGTATGGAAAATGTATTATTTTGTTTTGCGTGAGAGACAGAAAACCCAAAATAACAATGGCCTAAACAGCTTGAAGTTTATTTCTCTCACAGTCCAGGCCCATCTGGTGGCTCCACCCTTATCAAGGCCTCCAGCTCCTTCTATCTGAGTGACCTTCCCTCCTCAGCACACAGCTTCCCCCTGGGGTCAAGATGGCTGCTCCAGCTCAAGCCATCATGTCAGCATTCCAGCCTATGGGAAGGAGAGAAAGAAGAGACAAACTGTATGCCCGGGTCCTTCAAGGACACTCGTACAAGTTGCACACAGCATTCTCGCTTATAACTCATGATCGGTCACGTGGCCGCACGTAACCGCAATGGAAGTTGGGAACCAAAAAAAAAAACTCATTGTCATCAAATTGATTCCAACTCATAGTGACTCTATAGGACCGAGAGAACTGCCCCACAGGGTTTCCAAGGAGCAGCTGGTGGATTCAAACTACTGATCTTTTTGGTTAGTAGCCAAGCTCTTAACCACTGCACCACCAGGGCTCCGGAAGTTGGGAAAGGTGGTCTTAATTCTGGGCAGCTGTGCACCAGCTAAAAGTGAGGCCCTGTCACCATGGCAGGAAGGGAGAATGGGCAGTGAGGACAGCTGGCAGTCCTGGTACAGACGGACACGTGCCAAATACACTCCCAACTGTTATCTTTGGTAGGGGGCTGTGGGAGGCTTTGAGTGTTTTCTGGTTTTTTTAAGTTAGATTCAATCTAGTGCTCCTTTTTTATCCTCCTCTCTCCTGTTCTTACATTGGAACGATAACAAGCGTATGTCTTTTTAAAATAATTTATTTTTTTGTTGTTGAGAATATACACAGCAGAACATAACACCAATTCAACGGATTCTACATGTACAATTCAGGGACATTGATTACATTCTTCAAGTTGTGCAACCATTCTCACCCTCCTTTTCTGAATTGTTCCTCCCCCATAACATAAACTCACTGCCCCCTAAGTTTCCTATCTAATCTTTTGAGTTGCTGTTGTCAATTTGATCTCATATGGATAGTTCTTAAAAGAGCACAATGTTCAAGGCAGACATTCTTTACTAATTAAGCTAAATTATTTTTGATTTAAAGGAGACTTCAGGGGATATTTTTGGTTTAAGGTTTAAAGATTATCTCAGGGCAGTAATTCTGGGGCTTCAGCCAGCCTCCATGGGTCCAGAAAGTCTGAATTCCATGAGAATTTGAAATTCTGTTCTGCATTTTCTCCCGTTGACCACGATTCTTCTGTAGAATCTTTGGTCAGAACATTCAGTAATGGTGGCTGGGCACCATTCAGTTCTTCTGGTCTCATGGAAAAGGATGCCGTTGTTCATGGAGGCAATTAGCCACAAATTCCATTAGCCACACATTCCATTTCCTCCTATTCCTGACTCTTCTTCTACAAGTGTATGTTTTAATATAAGGTGCTCTGGCTTCTCCATCTTTGTCATTTGTGAAGGCTTTTCCAAACGAGTGCCTGTTGATTGTGGAAGGGGACAAGGAGGATGTGATGACTTAGTCTGTGCAGTGAGTGAGTGTCACAGTGCTTTCATGTGGGTCACACTCTTGTTATTAGCAATGAGCCTGTGAGAGAGGCAGGGCAGTCTCTCAGGACACCTGCTTTCAGAGTGGTAAAGTGACACACCCAGTGTCCCCTGGTCAGTGCCTGGATGGACCCAACTCCTTTCCCACCATCAGAGTGCTTCTTACTGCAGCCGGCTCTTTCCCCAGCATCCCTGCCAATAGCATGTTTCTTCTGGTTCTCTCAAGGCCAGCGCTGGCCTCAGGATGGAGGGTCCTTGTAACTTAACGAAAAGTGGACCCTTACTTCCAAGGACGCAAGTCCTGCTTAAATAAAAGGAAAAATCTATTGCCATCAAGTCGATTCTGACTCATAGTAACCCTATAGGACAGAGTAGAACCACCCTATAGGGTTTCCAAGGAATGGCTGGTGGATTCGAACTGCTTACCTTTTGGTTAGCAGACAAGCTCTTAACCACTGCACCACTAGGGCCCAACCACTGCTTATGACCCTTAAGATAAGACTTCTGAGCGTGTTTCATATTACTCATGCATTCATTCAACATACTTAAACTGCACTTGGTATGAACCAGGCACAGTACGAAATTATTATCGTGCCTGTGGTGTACGTGTGTGTGATAAGAATGAAGTATGGCTGCCAAACATATATATCATGGCTTTGTTCTGTTTTTTAACTCTTCCTGCGAAAGTCTTATTTGAAACACGTAACATCTGCAGAAAACTTGAAATAATAGTATAATGAACACTTAAATATTTTCTATACCTGGATTCACCAATTATTAACACCTTACCCTGTTTTTTTCTGATTCATTTGAAAGTGAGTTGTAAATAGCATGATACTTCAGCCCAAAGTACTGAAGTGTCTCCTAAGAACAAGAACATTCTCCTAAATAACCATGTCTTTGCTTCCTGAAAGCTGTTGTTGTTGTGTACCGTAGAGTCTATTCCAACTCATGGCGACCCTATAAGACAGAGTAGAACTATCCCAGAGAGTTGCCTGGGCTGTCATCTTTATGGGAGCAGATCGCCAGGTCTTTTCTCCTGCAGAGCAGCTGGGTGTGTTCGGTTAGGGTGCTTAACCAGCCACCAGGGCTCCTTTCCTAAAAGACAGTCCTTGGAATCCCCCAGCATTTGAGGTCCCTTTATTATATTCAACCTCTGAACAGCACCTGAGAAGGTATGCAAATGAGCGGGGGCTACACAGACCCCACCCTGTCAGCTAACCTCTGGAAGGGTGGGAGCCATAATTCAATCATGAGTATTCAATGCTTCAGTCGATCATGACTATGCAGTGAGGTTCCAATCATGACTATGCAATGAAGCCAATAAAAGACTTTGAACATGGAAGTACTGGGGCTTCCTGGGTTGGTAAGAGCTTGTGTTTTCAGTAGGGTGGCCTGGAGACAGCCACCTCCCAGACCTCATCTTGTGTGTCTCTTGGTTTTATCCTTTCTGATTATAGTAAATGGGTAACTGTAAGCATAGATATGCTCTGTAAGGTCTTTGAGCTGTTCCAAGGAATTAACAAGCCCACGGGGGAATGAGAGCCAGCAGGGGCTGGAATGTGCCCGTGGGCAGTCTGAAGGGCAGAGCCCTAACTTGTGTGCTCTGATTTAGCTTGGGTGGCTGGCGTTAGAGAAGGGTTGCACGGGCAGGCGATCTGAAGGACAGTCCTTCTACTTGTGTGTTCTGACCTGGCTTGGGGTGGCTAGGTCAGAGAATGGTCCTAAGTCGTGAGCTCCAGTCCAGCTCTGGGTGGCTAGAGGTTCGAGAAGGTGCCACTGGGGCAGTTGGTGAGAGGAAAGAGATATGGAAAGGTGAGGACTGGGTCCGTTTCCAGGGATTCATGCTGATCCTGACCACGCAGTTAGCAGTAACGGTGCGATTTGCCCACTGTGCCTTAGTGCAAACCACATACCATTTTCCCACCTAGGAAATTTAACACTGATCCGATAACAGTATCTGTTTTTATAGCCCATATTCAGATTTCCCCAATATTGCATTTGTATTTCAAGTGGTATTAGATCCTTTTTGAAAATATAAATTATAAGTAAATGAAAAGAGCAACCAAAAAATTGTTTCTGCCGTTTTCCTGCTTCTCCAGGAGGACATGATTCTGAGTGTGAGCACTCGACAGCCGCTGCACACGCTTCTGTGCTTGGGGGTTCATTGGTCTGTGTCCCTGCATTGGTGTGGAGAACGAGCACTGCGGTAAAGAAAGGAGGCTCAAAACCCCCCTTAACAGCCTTCTTGAGGTGTAATCAACGTACGATAAACCGTATAAAGTGTAGAATTTGATAACTTTGGACATATGTATGTACCCCTGAAACCATCACTGCAATCTAGATAGTAAACATTTCCATCGCTCGCAAAAGCTTCCCGGTGCCCCTTTCTAATTCCTGCCCCTGCCAGCCCCCAGGCAAGCACTGATGTGCTCTCTGTCACTAGGGATTGGTGTGCGTTTTCTGGGTTTTTATACCGACAGACTCATACGGCACGTACTCTTTTTGCCTGGCTTCTTTCCGTCAACCTCATTATTTTGTTTCATCCATGTTGGTGGATATTTTAGCAGTTTGTTCCTTTTTATTGCTGAGTAGAATACCATCGACGCCCATGGGTGTTGCAAACAGTTAATACACTCAGCTACTAACTGAAAGGTTAAAGGTTTGAGTCCACCCAGAGATCCTTCAGAAGAAAGGCCTTGTAACCCACTTCCAAAAAGTCAGCCATTGAAAACCCTATGGCGCACAGTTCTACTCTGACGCACGTGGGGTTGCCGGGAGTCGGAAAGGACTGGACGGTGATTAGCTTGGTGTTTGGTATTCCACTGTACGCCGCGCACCACAATTTGCTGATGCGTTTATCTGTTGGTGCACATTTGAGCTGTTTCCAGTTTTTTTGCTGTCACTAATAATGCTGCTATGAACACTTGGGTATAAATCTTTGGATGGACTGCTTTTTTCTCTTGGGTAAATAATATTTATCATAAACACCTAGGAGTGGAATGGCTGGCTCCAATGGTAGGTGTACATTTTACTTTTTAAGAAACTGCCAAACTCTCTCCAAAATGGTTGTACCATTTTCCATTTCCACCAGCAGAATGTGAGCGTTCCAGTTCCTCCATGTCCTTCCCACCACTTGGAAAGGTCAGTCTTTTCATCTCAGTCATTCTAATGGTGTGTAGTGGTAGTGAGGTGGTTCATCGGGGCCTTACTTATAAAGGTCTCCAGGACTTGTTGACAAATGGAAAAAGGAAGTTTTTGCAAAACAGTGTGTAAATTATAAAACCTATTTTTGAAAACAAAAAGAAAACACTATGAAATCCTTGTCTGAAGGTGTATGTCTGTAAGTACATTGGAAACAGGAAGGCTACACCCCACACTGGCATCCGTGATGGGTGGAGAGGGGAAAATGAAGCAAGGAAGGAGCTACTCTTTGGAATCAGCCCAGCGGCTTCTTGGAGGGGGAAGCTTGGAGGAGGGATGGGAATGGGTCTGGTGGACAGGATTTAGGCAACATCCCAAGAGGAGCTCCTAGCATGTGCCTTAATTTATTGACAGCTTATTACAGTACTTTTAATGCATCGCTAACTAAATGACTAGGTTGACCTAAGCGCCTTCACTACTTGTAATTAAAATCTATACAGTAGCCTTAAGGGGTGTGAGTATTATCCTTCCTATTTATTTGTTTCATCCTTTTACATTTTATGTGTTTTATAATATACCTCATATTATAAATATATATATGGAGAGAGAACAATGGGATACCTGCTCAATTTCTTTTTACAATTAAGGCTTTATGGCCAAAACAATTTGGAGACTGCTGGTCTACAGACTATTTAAGTAAGAATGATCACCAGCGTTGTTGGAATTCCCAGGCCAGACTCTTTTCTTTCTCTGCCACATGAAGTCCCTGTGTTCCGCACCAGCCAGTGAAACTGGGTAACAGCTGGGTCGCTGGGATGCATAGCCCTATTCCCTATTGGAAAGCAAGTGTATCCCTGAGACAGTAACCCAGCATGACCTGCAATATGAGTTAAGGCTTTGGAATTCGTGTCGAGGAGCCATAAGTACTATTTTTGCTTATTTTTGTCGTCTTGCAGCGTGCTCTTGAGCAAATTCTTTCATTCTCCTGTCTTGATGAATGGGAAGCAAGGCAGATGGCCACAGCTTTCCCTCTCCTCTAGCATCTGGTAAGAAGAAAACCATGGCTTAGGGAATTCTGAGGTTCCCAGGAATCCTTCCATATTCAGTATCTGTTTGTGGTTCTCACTAAGTTACTTAAATCTTAGCAGTTTCCATGGATTGCTAACATCTTACTGCTGCTCGTTTGCCAAGCTCTTTCTAGGTTGTAGCATAGTGTTGTGTTCCCGTCAGTGGGACGCGTTTTGTGTTGGACTTGCCTGTTGCCGTCTCTCACTCCTTTGTGTCCGTCTGGTCATTGTCTTAAACATGTGCTGACTGGGCTTGGGGTAGCAATGCGAATAAATCTCCTTTCCACCCCTCAAGGTAGGAAGGCCAAGGAGATCATAAACACGGCTCGGGAAAGCCTTGCGAAGATGATAGGTGGAAACCCTCCAGACATAATCTTCACTTCCGGCGGCACAGAGGTAATATTTCTAGACAAAGACTCGGGTTTGTTTAACTGGAAGTTATCATAAAAAGTAGAGTGTGGTTTTGCTTTTTTCTTTTTTTTTAAAGAAACAATAATGCTTGATCTTGTTATTTTGAAAGTTGTCTTGATATATTTAGCCACCATTTATTCTATAAGTAAATTCTGGGTGGCTGATAGGACATTTGTAATAGGATGTATGAATTATCTTGCTTTGCATTGTTATTTCAATAAAGAGAGTCTTCCCTTCATGTTTGCCCTGGAATTATTCCTTTGAATCCCTGCTAAGGTGTTTGCCTTATTAAAGGTTTGAAGTCTGACCCATTCAAAGGTACGTACTTTTTAAATTGGTAGAAAATTCTTGAAGACAGGCGGTGCTCACCACAGCCTCTCCTCGGTTAATAATGCCCACTATCTCATTCCCTTGCTGGAAAGGAAGGCAGAATGCTTATCCACAGATGGCAGTTTCTGTCCACATAGAAAACTCAAAAGAATCTGCAGTAGATTCTTAGAATTAATAAGAAAATGCAGCAGAGTTGGTAGGTACAAAAATCATTTGTGTTTTTATATACCAGCAACAAACAGGCATTTATCAGAGCATCAAAAAATATCCGGTACTTAGGAAATAAATCTAGTAAAATTAAAAACATATAAGCCCCTCACCAGGAAAGTTAGAAATACTACTGAGAGATTTTAAAGATCTACATAAATGGAGACATGTACCCTGTTTATGGATTGGAAGACTCAATATTATATGTCACTTCTTTCCAAATTGATCTGTAGATTCAGTGCAACCCCTGAATCCTGACACTTTTTAGGTAGAATCTCACAAACCGATTTATATGGAAATACAAAAGCCAAGAACAGCCAAGGCTTCTTAAAGATTAAGAACACAGTGAGAGGGTTTTTATAAAGCGCTACATGAGGGCAGGGTGGTTTTAGTGCAAGGATGGACAATAGACAAGAAACAGAGCCATGCTCGTGTGGACACTTGTCATACGACAAAGGTGGCCGTATGTCCAGGATACAGTTGTCCTGGTGTCACTATCACAGTGCCCTCTTTACTCTCAAATTTTTCTGAGTTAGACGATGGATTATAAGATCATCATAGATGACTGAGGTAGCAAGACAGAGTAGGGAGAAAGAATGGCTTATCAATGAATGGTCCTGCAACAACTGAATAATCAAAAAGAAAAAAGGAAATTGGACTTCCGCTTCACACCATACAGAAAAAAATAGCTCCAGGGGGACTAAAGACCTAAATGTGAAAGGGAAAATTATAAAGCTTTTGGGAGATCATATAAGTGAGCCTCTTCATGATGCTGAAGAGTGATGGATTGCTTGACTAAAACACGGAACACATTAACCGTAAAGGAAAAGATGGATAAATTCTATAACAACAACAAAACTAAGCACCAAACTTTGGTTTATTAAAGGACACAGTGAAGAAGATAAAAAGACAAGCTAGAAAGTGGGAGAAAGTATTTATATATACAACTGACCAAGGACTAACATCCCCAACATAAAGGAAGTCCTGCAAGTCATTAAAAGGTAGATGGCCCAATAGAAAAATGGGCAAGAAACTTGAATCTGCACTTCACAAAAGACAAGCTCAAATGGTTTCAACATATGAAAAGATTCTTGGCCTGGTAAGTACTCAGGGTAAGCTACAATGAACCACCTCTATACACCCATCAGAATGATAAGAAGAACAAGTCCAGTGATACCAGTATTGGCAAGGATATACAGATAGTGCTCGTGGGGTTGTACATGGAAAAACCATTTGGAAGACAGGTTGGTGGTATCTGGTGATCTTGAAGACATGCATACCCTATAAGGCAGCATTTCCCCTCATTAGGTATGTATCCTGGAAACATAAGGCACACCTGCATCAGGGTGTGAACACAAGAGCATTCATTGGAGCATTGCTCACAATACCCAAAACTGAGGACGACCCAGACATCCTCAGAATAGGAATGGGTAGGCATTAATACATTGTGGAACAGTCACACAGCGCAATCCCACACAGCTACACGCAGTGGCCTGGGCGAGTCTTACCAGGTTGAGTCAAACGTCATCCACAGAGCACCGTAGCTTACAGAGTGGAGCCGCAGCAGCTTGGCCAAGCTTCTGCGAGCCACCAGGCCCCTGTACACTGTGACTCACCACTCCAGGGCCCCAGCTCCCTTTGGCTCTTGAGGGACAGCCCCCTCGACCCCAGCTGCCCAGTGGGGCCCTCGTGGTCTCAGTCTGGAGCCTGCGGGGGTGCCATCTACTGAGTGTCAGCGGGGAGTGCTGCCATGGCGAGGTTTCTTGGGAACCACCCTCTCGGGGTGGAGCCCTGGACCTTGGCTTCAGCAACTTCCTGGACAGGTAAGGATGAGCGTAGCCGCAGTGGAGGGCCTAGGACATGTTCACGGTCGTCTGACTCATCTGTTACACTGCCGTCCGCCAGGACCTGTGGTGTGCAGCCCCCACCTGCCCCCTGTCCTGTCCAAAGGACCCTGTGAAAGGGGACTACGGGGCTCTCCAAAGGATCCTGATAAAGGGGTCTGCGGGGCTCTCCAAAGGACCCTGTTAAACGGGTCTGCGGGGCTCTCCAAAGGACCCTGTTAAACGGGTCTGCGGGGCTCTCCAAAGGACCCTGTTAAATGGGTCTGCGGGGCTCTCCAAAGGACCCTGCTAAAGGGGTCTGCGGGGCTCTCCAAAGCACCCTGTTAAAGCGGTCTGCGGGGCTCTCCAAAGCACCCTGTTAAAGGGGTCTGCGGGGCTGTCCAGGCAAGGACACCGAGAAGACCCCTGTCTCCCGGACTGAGAACCAGTGTGCTGGGCGTCAGAGTTTACTACCCAGGGTGCAACCTGGGGCTTGTCAAGAGCCACCTGCCTTTTAGAGAAGCAAATAGGATTTGTCCATCTTTTCGCCTTTGTTTAACTTGATGCATCTCAGCTCCAATGAAGCACTGCCTGGTCTTCCGCAGTTCTCCCCCATGTGCACAGCTCGATGTCCGCGGCACGTTAAGCCTTCTGAGCACAGCATGGTGGTTCAAGAGTGGCTCATAGCATAGCTCGATCGAGTGACTCGTAGCAAAGTACAAGTGAACGACTCAGGACAGCGAAACTGAGTGACCCAGCAAAGCACAAGTGAGTGAGTCAGCAAAGCACAACTGAGTGACTCAGCGAATTACAAGTGAGTGATCTAGCACAGTGCAACTGAGTGACCCAGCAAAGTACGCGTGAGTGACCCAGCAAATCACAAGTGAGTGACCTAACACAGTGCAAGTTGACCCAGCAAAGCACAAGCAGCATCTCAAAGAGTCTGTACTGTGGAATGTTTTCAGGTACTTGAATAGATCAAATCATCAATTGACAAAAAAATACATTTAGTTCAACCCAATTCATATAAAGGTCAAAAATATGCAAAACAACCAATATTGTTTAGGTATGCTTACGTAGGAAGTGAGAGTATATTTGCAGTGGAGTGAATTGTGTCCCCCCAAAATGTCTGTCAACTTGACTAGGTCATGATTCCCAGTATTGTGTGATTGTCCCCCATTTTGTCATCTGATGTGATTTCCCTATGTGTTGTAAATCCTAACACTATGATATAATGAGATGGATTAGCAGCAGTTATATTGATGAGATCTACGCGATTAGATTGTGTCTTCAGCCAATCTCTTTTGAGATATAAAAGAAGCAAGCAGAGAGACATGGGGACCTCATACCACCAAGAAAACAGTGCCAGGAGCAGAGCACATCCTTTGGACCTGGGGTTCCTCTGCAGAGAAGCTCCTAGTCCAGGGGAAGATTGACAAGACGGACCTTTCTCCAGAGCCGACAGAGAGAGAAAGCCTTCCCCTGGAGCTGATGCCCTGCATTTGGACGTCTAGCCTACTAGACTGTGAGAAAATAAATTTCTCTTTGTTAAAGCCATCCGCTTGTGGTGTTTCTATTATAGCAGCACTCGATGACTAAGATAATATTTAAAAAAAAAAGCAAGGAAGTGATCCCATAAATATCAGAAGAATTGATACATTTGAACTGTGGTGTTAGCAAAGAATATGGAATATACCATAGACTTCCAGAAGAACAAACAAATTGGATTTAGAAGAAATACAACCGGAATGCTCCTTAGAAACGAGGATGGCAAGACTTTGGCTCACTTACTTCAGTCATTAGGAGGGAGCAATCACTAGAAAGGACACCATGTGTGGTGAACTAGAGGGTCAGCAAAAATGAGGGAAATCCTTGGTGAGATTGACACAGTAGCCAAAATTGGCTCAGATATACCAGCAGTCATGAAGATGGTGCAGGGCCAGGCAGCTGTTCGTTCCGTTAAACATAAGGTCACCCTGAGACTCCGCCAACCCCACAGGAACTAAAAACAACCAAGTCGGCTCTGAGGGGGAGGGGACCTGGGGGATGCTCCTGCAGTGTGGGCCGTGTTCTCAGGTGACAGCTACTCAGGTATTGGCCATTCTACTTTACATGACAGCTACTCAGGTACAGGCAGTCCCCAACTTATGACAGAGTTGCATTCCCATGGCGCCTTCGTAAGTTAGTTCTGACGTAAGTTGAATACCTTATTTTTTTTTTTTTTAGTTTTCATTCAGACAGTCCCCGACTTACGACATATTTGAGTTACGCCGAACTGCACTTACGACCCTGTGTTTTGTTTTATGATTGTTTCACATCTTACCATTAGTAATACGTATGTATTAAAATATATCTGTAAGTTTATATGTTTTCCAACCCCCAAAGACAAATGAAGATCAGATTTATGAAGATACGATAATAAAAGGCACTAATACAGGTAGTCCACAACTTACGATGGGGTTCCGTTCCAACAACTCCATCATAAGTCAGTTCTGACATACGTTGAATAACTCTTTTTTTTTTAGTTTTTATTATTATTGCCTACCCGTATCATTGGACTACCTGTGTTATTGCCTTTTATTGTCAGTATCTTTATAAATCTGACCTTTATGTGTCTTTGGGAGCTGGAAGCATTACTTAGAAACTCACAGATATGTTTTAATACATACACACAATTACTAACGATAAGATGCACACACACACAAAAAAACAGAGGGTTGTAAGTGCAGCTCGTCCTAACTCAAATATATTGTCAGTTAGAGACCGCCTGTATTAACTGTTACGCTTTGTCATTAAGCTGTGCGTTTATGTTTTACACAATTTTCTGTACATGTGTTATATTCACTAATAAGAGAAAAGGTTAAAAAAAAAACCTTCTCCCACCCCAACCCCCCAGTCATCCACTTCCCCTGTTTATCGGAGGCCAATATTATTAGTTTCTTGCATGTCTGTCCAACAATAGTCTATGCATTAAAAGCAAAGAAACTAGTTGCCATTGAGCTGATTCTGACCCAGGACAACCCCATGTGTGTCAGAGTAGAACTGCAGTCAATCCACAGGGTTTTCAATGACTGATATTTTGAAAATAGTTCACCAGGCCTTTCTTCTGAGGTACCTCTGGGTGGACTGAAACCTCCAACCTTTCAGTTAACAGCCAAGTACTTACTGTGCTTACCCGTTTGCACCACCCAGGGACTCCAAAAGCAAAGAAGTATGTAGATTTATATATTCTTTTCTCCTTCTCTTTTTGCCTGTTCAAAGATATTTTTGCATAGATAAGCAAATATGCCTTGCCTCCTTTTTGTACAAATTGTAGGATACTGTTTACAATGTCTGCTTCCTTTTTTTATTTAACAAGTATATCTGCGAGTCTCCTTAGTATTTCTCACATCTGCTCAGCGTTTTACTGAACGGAGATCGTGTAATTTATCAAGTCCCCTTACTGATAAGACACCTGAAGTTCTCTACAATGTTTTGCTAATACAAACAGGGCTGCAATGAATAACTCTCCTTTTGTACAGGCAATGGTGGGATAAAGTCTTAGAAACAGAGTTGCTGAGTCCAAGTTACTCATTTGTAACTTAATTGACTCAACTGCAACTGGTTTGGTTTTTTTTTTTTTTTTTTTGGTAGATAAGCCAAATGGCCTCAACAGAGTTTGTGCTAATTTAGACTTCCACCAGCAGTGGGCGCTGGGGGGAACTATTCTTTTCTAACAGATTTATAAAATTTAAAAATGCATAATGCAGCTAGCAACCAAACAGGCATGATTGATTGGAGGTGAATTCAGAAGTTTTTGAAAGCTTGAAACCCCCAGATCTTTGTCTTCATCCTTTCATAAGGTGATGCTCAGGGACTTGGATCTGAGACTTTTTTCTTTTTCTTTTTTAAAGTCAACCACAAAAGAAAATACAAATGAGAGAGACTGTTGTTTAACTCTTCCCTCAGGACGCTTTTGGTCAATGCCTTTTCTGCTCCATCTCTGCAGTCAAATAATTTAGTGATCCACTCTATGGTGAGACATTTCCGTGAAAGCCAGATGGCCAAAGAGGACGGGGTTGAGCCCCTGGGCAACGGGGCCAAGCCGCACTTCGTCACCTGCACGGTGGAGCACGACTCCATCCGCCTGCCCCTGGAGCACCTGAAGGAGGACGGCGTGGCCAGTGAGTGACCCCAGACCACGGTCTGTCCCTGCACTCTCCCGGGCTCCCCTAGGTTGTGTCGACAGACCTGCCCGTGGGGCATGTGAATAATTCATCCCAGCCTTCCTGGCTGTTCTGTCCAGGTGCAAAGGTCACCTGTGTTACCCAGGAGGTCGGTGAAGGCCACCACAGTCCTCTCTGGAAACACTTGATGATCAGTGTGCAGGCTGGTCATCTTTATGAGTGAATGATATTTCAAACTCTTGTGTGTAATAAATACATAGCCTTTAAATACCCGATTCCAACTCATAGCAACCCTAGAGGACGGAGTAGAACTGCCCCAGAGGGTTTCCACGGAGCGCTGGTGGATTCCAACTGCCGACATTTGGTTAGCAGCCGAGCTCTTAACCGCTGCGCCACCAGGGTTCCTTCGGTACAGGGCTAAAGGAGCCCTGGTGTCACAACGGTTAAGCGGTTAAGCGCTTGGATGCTAAGTGAAAAGTCCGACCCGTGGGAGAAAAGACCCAGCCGCCTGCTCCTGTAAAGACTGACCCACAGCCAGGGAATCGGAGGATGAGTCATGCCTGGCCAGCGTGGCAGTGCCCTGGTGACGTGGGACAGCGTGAACTTGTCCTTCTTTCACTTTTCCTGTGATACGAAGTCTCAAGTCTCAAGAGGGAATAACGTGTTCACAGGACGTAGACTATTTTTTTGTTTTTCTTTTTTTACCCCAAAAGAGCCAAGATTAATACTCTCGTTAAATAAGAACGTGACTTTCTCTTCAACCTTGGCTTCTTATCTAACCTGCCTGGAAACCAAACATGAATAAGGAGAAAGTATTTTATCTTCCAGATAAAGGGGCTGTAACCCGACTGCAAGGTTGGGACTACAAAGCCTTTTTGTCGATTTTCCTGCTTGACTCCTGGGAAAGTTTTTCTCTTTATGATCTTGCCAGCAGGTGAAAATATCAGACGAACGGTTTAGACCCCAAGGTTAAAATTTTCACGGGTTTAATTTTTTTAAAAAGCCAGGTGTAACTTTCTTTACCTAATATAAATTGTTGCTGTTATTTGCCGTTAAGTGGATTCTGACTCATTTAAGTTATAGTTCCTTTTAATCCGTGGTTTGTTTGTCTGTTTGCTTGTCTCATACAGGGAAGAGCAACTTGGTGTAAGTCTTAGTCACCCAGCACTGCTGTAACAGAAATACCGCAAGGAGATGGCTTTAACAAAGAGAAGTTTATTCTCTCACAGTCTAGGAGGCTAGAAGTCCAAATTCAGGGTGCCAGGGGAAGGCTTTTTCTCTCTATCTGATCTGGGGGAAAGTCCTTGTCATCAATCTTCCCCTGGTCTAGGAGCTTCTCAGCGCAGGGGCTCCAGGTCCAAAGGATGCGCTCTGCTCCCAGTGCTTCTTTCTTGGTGGTATGAGGTCCCGCTGTCTCTCTGCTCACTTCTCTCTTTTATATCTCGAAAGAGATTGGCTTAACACATAACCCAATCTTGTAGATTGAGTCCTGCCTCATTAACATAACAGCCTCTAATCTCGCCTCATTAACATCATAGAGGTAGGATTTACAGCACATAGGAAAATCACATCAGATGACAAAATGGTGGACAGTCACACAATACTGGGAAGCATGGCCTGGGCAAGTTGACATACATTTTTAGGGGACAAGTGAATACTTCCGATTTAATGCAAAATAAGTCAGAAACACACTCTCCACTTCTTGACTTCTCAACTCAGCTGTCTGTTTGTTGACTCCCACCATGACAAATGAGGACTTGGACTCTCTCAAGATGACCTCACATCTCTCCCCACCCCACACCTCCCAGTTGTTTTTGTTTTTATATCAGCCAGATTTATAATTTACATGCCATACTGTATAATTCACCGATTTAAAGTACACAATTTAGTGTTTTTAGGATTTTCAGAGTTGCCTCCCTCACCACAGTCAATGTTAGAACGCTTTCGTCACCCCAAAAAGAAACCTTGTTCCCATTACCATTAACTCTCCATTTCCTCCAACCCTCTCCCTCCTCCCAACCTTAGGCAACCTACTTCCCATCTCTGTAGATTTACCTGTTCTGGACGTTTTCTATAAATGGCAACATACACAATGGTCCTTTGTGACTGTCTTCTTTCATTTAGCATAAAGTTTTCAAGGTTCATCCATGCTGTAGCATGCATCAGTACTTCATTCCTTCTTATTGATGAGTAATATTCCATTGTATGTGTGTGCCACATTTTATTTACCCATTCATCAGTTGATGGACTTGTAAGTTGTTTCCATTTGGGGGCTATTATGAATAATGCTGCTATGAACACTTGTGTACGAGTTTCTATGTGGACATATGTTTTCATGTCTCTTGGATAATTTCTCTTGGGCAGTGGGAGCAGCCTGGTGGGCAGGTGGGAGGAACTTGGTCAGCAGGTGGGGAGGAGCCTAGTGGGTGGGTGGGAGGAGCCTAGTGGGCAGGTGGGGGAGCCTGGTGGGCAGGTGGGGGGGGCCTGTCGGGCAGGTGGGGGGAGTCTGGTTGGTAGTTGGGGAGGAGCCTATTAATGCAATGCCATCATCTTTCTATATTCTGGAGATTCCTCAAAATTCCTGGTCCACAGGTGATATTCTTTCTTAATATTGTAATGCCATTCTTATTTAGGAAAATCTCTCTTCTCTCATTTCAGTGGGACTTAGGGGGGAAGTGGATACATATGTACTCTGCCATTTTGAACTGGAAACTTCAGTCTAATTATCTCCTCTTATTTTCCATCTGCAATACTGAGCTCATAAGTGCCTGGAATAGTGCCTGGCATACAGTAGGTGCTTAACAAACATTGGTTCAATATTGAGTAAATGAAGGTTAAGAACTTGGAGCATTAAGATGCACTTGTCAATTGAGAGTGGGCCTTCATACTTAGTGTATTATTTCCTTATGGGCCCCATTAGAAGCAGAATGGCATGTATGTTCCATGAGATGAAGTCACCAACTACAAGTGTACTAAAGAAGCTTTCAAGTTGAAATGCCTGACAGTGATTATTTCTGGGTGCTGTGATAATGGTGGTTCATATTTCTGTCTTTATAGTTTTCTAAATTTTTACAATAAATTATTGTGGAAAACAGGTTTTGTTTAAAGCTGTACCTAAAGGAACTTTCAAGAAAGGCTGATTTGTATCATTGACTTCAGTACTTGCGTTTTATACTTTAGCCGTCACCTTTGTCCCAGTGTCTAAGGTCAGCGGACAGGCAGAAGTGGATGATGTCCTCGCGGCTGTCCAGCCCACCACGTGCCTTGTGACCATCATGCTGGCCAACAACGAGACTGGTGTTATCATGGTGAATCAGCTTTTTCTTTTTCTTCTTTTAAGAAAGTCTAGTGGGAAGGAAGGGAGCTTAGACTTTGCTGATACCTAATGTTTCTCAGATTGGGCTGCTTCTTTTTCTCTGTTCTTCAATTTTGTAAAATTTTTTTGCCTGTCTTCCTTAACCACTCCTTACTTTTTTCTGTCAGCCTTCATCAAACCAAAACCACACACTCAACAGTTTGTTTTCCCTGGTGCAGCATGTCCCCGAAATCAGCCAGCGCATCAAAGCCTTGAACTCAAGGCGGGTGGCCTTGGGGCTGCCCCGCATCCTAGTGCACACGGACGCTGCGCAGGCACTGGGGAAGAGGCGCGTGGACGTGGAAGACCTGGGAGTGGACTTCCTTACGATTGCGGGGCACAAGGTAGCGTCTGAGTGGCCCCTCTCTCCTGGTTGGGAAGACCTCTTACTTAAGCCTTGCTGTAGAGTGGAACCACACCATCCTCACTACTCACGTGCTCATCTGGTTAGCCTTGATGCCTCCTGCAGTCCCTGCCCTCAAGGAGGTTCTAGAAGGGGAGACCAACACAGCTATGATGCCATTTGATGAGTGCCATGGTGGGGACATATAGAAGCATCCCCACCCGTATGGGGCTAGGGTGGGGCAGGCAGGCAAATCCTCAAGAGGGTGTTGAGGCGAAGGTAAGAACATAGGGCAGGTGGGGTCCAGCCAAGTAATGGGCAGAGACCTCATCTGCCCACACACAGACTCCTCCCCCAACCAAAGACAAAAGATGTGGGGCTCAAGAAAGTGTTGCTTTTTCTAACTTGACTTAAAATATGGCTCCTGAATAGAAAGGTTTAGGTTTAGAGACTCTTATCTTTAAGGTGGAGTAGGGAGGAAAATAGCTACAATTGAGGACCCTTATGAAGCTTTTGTTTGTCTTTCTGGCAGCTGACTAGGACCTGAAATACTTCTAGTATTCTGTTTTGAAGCACAATCCTCAGCTGGTTTCCAAAGGAATGTCTATGTTGGCCTGGCACTTTAGCACTTAATTTTTTTACATAATGTTGATTTGAAAATATGGAATCATGTGTAAGAAAAGCCCTTGGCATCTCTAGTTCCGACCTTCTCCTCTTACAAAATCTATCACATGGCACGTGGAGGAGCTCTACCTGCCATAAAGCTGGGAATGAGAGCCTAGCACCAGCCCCGCCTTTCCTACACGTCCGAAGGTGTGATGGATAGCATAGCTGAGGGCCCCAAGGAGGCCAGGGCCTGTCCATCACAGAGCATTACTTCTGCATGCAGCCAAGTGCTTAGCACATATACAGAGTAGGTCCTTGGAAAGTTCTTGCTGAATAAATGTCTGACTTCTCATTTCAGTTCTATGGCCCCAGGATTGGAGCACTTTACGTACGAGGCCTTGGTGAACTGACCCCTCTACACCCTATGCTGTTTGGAGGTGGGCAAGAACGGGATTTCAGGCCAGGGTAAGGTTGGAAGCTAACGAAGTCTCCGACCCAGTGGCCCTGCCACTTGTCTGTAGAGCAGAGATTTTTTTTTTTAAAAGAAATACTGTGGTGCCTCTCATCTCTTGGAAACGTGTAGTAGCACAGTCCACATAGTTACTCAATCAGAGTGGGTTCTACTGACTTTCTACACTAGGGCTCACATGATGAGCAGACTCTGGGGATGATAGGTGAAGAAAACTTCTGTTTCTTTTCCTTGCTTCAAAACATCAACTTTCCCTTGGCAGCAGGTGTGGTGAGTGCATGAGCTTGGTGGCCAGACACAGCTGGCCAGGTCAAACCTGGTGCTCCCATGGGTCAGCTACATGAGCTAGGTAAATCATTCACCCTCCTTGGCCTCAGTTTCCTCATCAGTTTAAATGGGGCTCATGACAGCATCTACTTCACTGAGTTGTCAGTGAAGCTTGTATCATAGTTCTGGTATAAAGGAAGCCATCAGGAAGTGTTAGATACTATCGCTACTCTTGTTATTTTGGTGCAACCCACCGAAGAGATGCTGCTGGAGCCTTTGTGGTTGAGATGTGTTACGGTTCTCTTAACACTATGGACAGCAGGGTCCCATAGAAGCACTCTTTCTTCCCTTCTGATAGCTCTTGGCAGTAATGAGATAGCACACCCCCTGCTCCAGCTAGATCAGTATCAGAAAAAGCCAACTAGAACAGAAGGTTTAAATAAGATCCAGAGCCTCATAACATAATACTAAAATGTCCAGGTTTCAGTACAAAATCACTCCTTACTAAGAACCAGAAAGATCTCAAATTGAATGAAAAGAAGCAATCAATAGTTGAGGTGACAGTGATGTTAGAATGATCTGACAAAGATTTTAAAGCAGGCATAATAAAAATGCTTCAGTGAGCAATTATAAGCATACTTGAAACAAATTCCAATCACAGCAGAGAAAGAAATGTAAAGAAGAACCAAATGGAAATTTTAGAACTAAAAACTACAATAACCAAAATAAAAAGTTCAATGGATGGGCTCAATAGCAGAATAGAAGGGACAGAGGAAAGAATCAGTGAACTGAAAGAACAATACAAATTACCCAATCTGAAAAACAGTGAGGAAATAGACTGGGGGAAAAAATGAACAGAGACTCAGGGACAGTGAGACTATAATAAAAGATTTCCTTCTGAAGTCTCAGAAGGAGAGGAGAAAGAGGGCAGTGCTGAAAACATAACATAATTCCCCAAATCTGGCAAGAAACATAAATTTACAGATTGAAGAGTCTGAGCAAACCCCAAACAAGATAAACCCAAAGAAATCCATGCCAAGGCTTACCATAATTAAACTTCTGAAGATAAAAGATGAAAAAACATTGAAAGCAGCCAGAGAAAATGACACCTTGCCAATAGCAGAAAAACTTATTTTTTTATTTTTTATTGTTGTGCTTTAAGTGAAAGTTTACAATTCAAGTTAGTCTCTCATATAAAAATTTATACATAAATTGTTATGTGACCCTAGTTGCTCTCCCTATACTGTGACAGCACACTCCTCCATTCCACCCCAGATTTCCGTGTCCATTCAGTCAGCTTCTGACCCTCTCTGCCTTCTCATCTCACCTCTGGACAGGAGCTGCCCATTTAGTCTCATGTCTCTACTTGAGCTAAGAAGCACACTCTTCACAAGTATCATTTTATGTCCCATAGTCCAGTCTAATCTTTGTCTGAAGAGGGCCTCAGAAATGGTTTTAGTTTTGGGCTAACAGAGCATCTGGGGGCCATGTCTTCTGAGGTCCCTCCAGTCTCAGTCAGACCATTAAGTCTGGTCTTTTTACTAGAATTTGAGTTCTGCACCCCTCTTTTCTCCTGCTCTGTCAGGGTCTCTCTGTTGTGTTCCCTGTCAGGGTGGTCATTGGTGGTAGCCGGGCACCATCTAGTTCTTCTGGTCTCAGGCTGTTTCAATCTCTGGTTTATGTGGCCCTTTCTGTCTCTGGATCTTGACTGTTTCAATGCAGTATCCTGGTTATGATCTGGTACTATCATTTGGCAAGATCTTTGGGGAGACTGGTAAACAGCATGGAATCTCTCTGTCTTATTTCTTGCAACTGCATGTAAATCAACAATCATCTCAAAATAAAAAGTTTAATTTAAAAATGATGAGCAGATGTTCCAGAAACTGTAAGCTGCAGCTCAGAGTTGTGAGACAGGCTGGGGAGTGCAGGGTTTAACTTACTCCATGGGAAGGTAGAAGAAGGCTGAGTGCTAGAAGTGTGGGTAGTGGGACAGGCCTGGTTGCATGATCAGGCCAGCCCACAAGGGGTCCCAGGCTGTTCCATCCTGGAAGCTTTTCAGGCCATGGCATGTCACAGACCTTCAGCAATGCTCCTAAGCCCTGACCTGACTGCACTGTCCTGTAGATGAGGACACTGAGTCCAGGAAGGGGACGTGACTGGGCTGAGAGCCCACGGTGAGGAGAGGAATCTGGGCTGAGGACAAAGCCCAGGCCTCCCTGTCCACAGCCAGGCCCTCGCCCAGCACCTGACCACCCATCCCCAGGGAATGGAGCTGACCAGTCAAACTGTTGTCAGAGCAGGATCAGCATGGTCAGGTCTTCTGTCACTATCACATGCTGCAAATCCATTTATCTTGTTATCTGCCGGTCACCAAGCAGGATCTGGTTCCAAAGGTTTCACAAGACTTCTTTCAGCCCAAACTTAATAGTCGGAAAATTCTGTTTATTCAGTTAATGTTTTATTTTCCTGGAAACGAAGTAAAGAGTTCTGTTTTTCAGTTTGTGGGATCAAAGTGTGAGAGTCACTGGTCTTCAGAGGGCTCTCTTTTCCCTCTTTTGTGTGTGCACACACATACACACACAACCGTCACACACATACACATACAACCACCACACGCACACATATACTCACATACACACCCAACCATATGCACACACCCCACCATATGCACACACCCCCCACATACACATACACACCCCCCACATGCACATACACACCACCACATGCACACACACCCCACCACATGCACACACACTCCACACACACACACATACTCACATATACCCCACTACATGCATATACACACATACTCACGTACACACACCCCACATGCACATACACCCCCTTTGCACACTCATACCACACACACACACCAAATGCACACATACACCACACACATGACCACATGCACACACATACACATATGCCACCACTTGCATACACACCCGCATACGTGCACATGCACACACACATGCACTTGTTATTTGCTGATGCCAGAAATCCCTGTAACAAAGGATCCTTCCACATTACCGCTGAGAGGCTCAGCATGATGCCAACATGTCGTGAATGAGTTACTCACAGGCAACCGCTAACTATAAATGGCTAATTCCAGGCCCTCCCTGGGTGTGGCGGGAGGGACCGAGGAGAGGAGTGCACTGCGGCCGCGGTAGGAGGAGGGGTGCCCCCATGGCAGGGAAAGGGCCCACCCCGAGTGGCAAACATTGGACACCCCACAGAGTTTGTCCCCACCTCGCCCTTTGCATCGGGGCCAAGCTGTTACAAGTTTGTGTGGAGGCCGTGGGGGCCTGTCACTTCCGTGTGGCCCCCACGCAACAGGTGCACAGTAAGGTGTCGGTGTGATGGTCTCATTTTTACGCAACAGCTTTCCTGTAAACCTGAAAGCCTTCCCAGGACAGCTGTCAGTTGTGACCTCATGACTCTGTGTATCTGCTTTGCCCTGGGACAGGATTCACCCCTTGTCTCTTACAGGACCGAGAACACCCCAATGATTGCCGGCCTCGGGAAGGTAAGCCACCTCTGCCAGCGCAGCGTGGGACTGGCCTGCTTCTGTCTGGGGGCAGGGGGGCCACAGCCTCCGTGCGGCTGACAGCACTGGGAGACGTCAGAGTTCAAGTTCATCCTTTTGTTGCTCTTGGTGACCTTGAACAGATGAATTAATTGCCTTCTCTGTCAGTTTTTCCAGAGGCTTTAAGGGCTGTCCAGGGCCTTGTTGTTGCTGGGTGCCATCAAGTCGATTCCCACTCATGGCAAGCCTGTGTGACAGAGTAGAACTGCCTCATAGGGTTTTCTAGGCTGGAATCTTTACAGAAGCAGATCTCCAGGCCTGTCTTTCCATAGTACGGCTGGGTGGGTTTGAACCGCCAACCTTTAGGTTAGCCATCGAGCACAAACCACTTGTACCACCAGGGACCTTAGGAGGTCATATCAGGATCCCAATTAACAGAGTGACAGAAGAAAACACCTAGAATTTTTTTTTAATTGTGCTTTAAGTGAAAGTTTACAGTTCAAGTTAGTTTCTCATACGGAAATTTATATACACATTGTTATGTGACCCTGGTTGCTCTCCCTACACTGTGACTGCACACTCCTCCTTTCCACTCCAGGTTTCCCATCCATTCAACCAGCTCCTGACCCTCTCTGCCTTCTCATCTCACCTCTGGACAGGAGCTGCCCATTTAGTCTCATGTATCTACTTGAGCTAAGAACAACACTCTTCACGAGTATCATTTGATGTCCCATAGTCCAGTCTAATCTTTGTCTGAAGAGTTGGCTTCAGGAATGGTTTCAGTTCTGGGCTAATGGAGAGTCCAGGGGCCATGTCTTGTGAGGTTCCTCCAGTCTCAGTCAGACCATTAAGTCTGGTCTTCTTACTAGAATTTGAGTTCTGCACCCCACTTTTCTCCTGCTCCATCAGGGACTCTCTGTTGTGTTCGCTGTCAGGGTGGTCATTGGTGGTAGCTGGGCACCATCCAGTTCTTCTGGTCTCAGGCTGATGAAGTCTCTGGTTTATGTGGCCCTTTCTGTCTCTTGGGCTAATATTTTCCTTGTGTTTTTGGTGTCTCCATTCTCCTTTGCTCCAGGTGGGTTGGGACTGATAGATGCATCTTAAATGGCTGCTTGCTAGCTTTTAAGACCCTAGACGCCGCCCACCCCAAAGTAGGATGTAGAACATTTTCTTAGTAAACTTTGTTATGCCAATTGACCTAGATGTCCCCTGAAACCATGGTCCCCAGACCCCGCCCCTGCTAGTCTGTCCCTCAAAGTGTTTCGTTGTATTCAGAAAACTTCTTAGCTTTTGGTTTAGTCCAGCTGTGCTGAATTCGCTGTATTAAAAAACACCTAGAATTTTACCTACCAGCCTGGAGAACTGTACAGTTTGAGATCTCTACATGCTTTGCATCTAAAAGGGAAAAGCTCTTTTTTCGAGTCTCCTCTATAAGAACACAAGGATGTATCTTCTGTGTCTTCGCTGCCCCCCCACACCCTGCAACTCTTTTCTCACCCATCAGCTGTCCACTTCGGGGTCACCCACAGTGCGCTTTCGGCTCGGTCCCAACTGCCCGGTCCAATGACCTTGTTCAGTATCCAGATCCATGATGCCTTCTTGACTTCGGGAGAACCCCCCTCCACCATCACCCTGTGTTAGGATCCACTGTTCCCAGGTCTCTGCCTTACAGGAAGCCAAATCTGGGTTTCTGGAGCTCCACACGCCTCCCTCCTGCAGCCTCTCCCCTCCCTCCTGCAGCCTCTCCCCTCTCTCCTGCAGCCTCTCCCCTCTCTCCTGCAGCTCCCTCCTGGAACATCCCCTCCAGCCTAAAGGACATGCCAGCTCATCTCAAGATCCTCCCCCTACCCCCCCCACCCCCACAGCTCTCTGCCCCTCCCAGTGGAAGGTCTCTGCAGAGCTGGGCACACTCACTCTCTCCACTGCCCTCCTCACATCTGGTCTAGCGTCTCTCCTTCCTCCACTCCCTGCAAACTTCCGGGTGGCTCCCCAGCCACCGTGGTAGTCACACCCATGCTGTGTCTGGGTCCTTACCGCATCAGCCCTCACGGCAGCTCTCCAGAAGCACCTTCCCCTCTAACCTACTCCCCCGTCCCCTGCCGTGGAGATGGCCCCTTACCTGGGGTACACCCGGCGGTCCGTGCCTCCTCTCTCTGTCCTCCTAGGGGACCCGTCTGCCTATGGCTGCAGACACATCCTGGGCAGGCAGGCCCGGTGTCTCCTGAGCTGCAGACCCACGCCCCCCACAGCTCTCTGGAGGTTTCCTCAGGCGTCTCCCAGGTGACTCCGGGTCACCAAGCCCAAAGCCAGTCCCGTCTCCAAACCCCATGGCTGCCCCTGACTCCTGCCTCTTCCTTCTCCCACATCTGCTCTGCCTCCCGTCCATGTCCACGGCCTCTGGCCCTAGACCACGCCCTCTCCTCACCTGGCCACCCGACCCGGCCTCTCTGGGTCTCCAGCTTCCGCTCCCCGCACGGCACCTGGGGAAGCTAAAATGCAAGTCAGCTACCTCACCCCCTCGCTCAGTCGTAGGTGCACTGGCCCCATTGCACTTACATATACTACAGGCCCACGGGACCCTGGGGTCACCGGGTCTGGTCTCGGCGAGCCTCCCCCTCACGCACGCTGCACCTGCTATCCCGGCCCATCTGTTCCAGGGCATGCTCCTCCTTCTGCACGGGGCCTGGGCGGCCGTGGCTCCCTTCACCCTGCCACCGTCTCCTTCCCAGTTCCCAGCCACCACAGGTGGCACCCTCTGCTCAGTGCCTCCCTCACCCTTGTCTGGCTCTCTCTCTGGAGTGTATCTTCCCTGGAGACCGAGATCGAAGGTTCTGGAATTGCCTGACAGTCAGATCCTATTGAATGAATGAAGACAAGGCTCTTCAAGCTCCTAACGTGGCCCTTGGCACACGTTGGTGCTCAGTAAATCCTGCTGACTTGGAGGGCACAAGAAAATGAGCGGCTGGCATCTCTTGTTTGAGGAAATGCACCTCTGCTCTTTAAAGGCCTCTTGCTCCCCTTGGTCTTGCAATGACGGGGTACGTGTGCCCTCTTGCTCCCCTTGGTCTTGCAGTGATGGGGTGCACGTACCCTCTTGCTCCCCTCGGCTTAGCAATGATGGGGTGTGCGTGCCCAGGCTTGGTGATGAGCAGTACGGGTTTCTGTGTCCCCAGGCCACGGAGCTGGTGAGCAAGAACTGTGAGGCTTACGAGGCCCACATGAGAGAGGTCAGGGACTACCTGGAGGTGAGGCTGCAGGTGAGCGGAGCTCCCGGCCAGCATGGCCACCCACAGGGGTCGTCAACTGGGACGGGGGGTGCCAGGGAGCCGCCCATTGATGACAGTGGGGTACCAATGGGGAGAGGGCTTGACTGAGCCGGACAGGGGGAGCTGTGTCTACGAAACCCAGTCTGGAAGCTAGTCGGGGGACACCCTGTGTGCCAAGGAGGAGTGGGAAGGCTCAGTGAAGAACACAAGCTGGAGTCAACAAGCCCCGAAGAGAGACTCTAGACTAAGTGGATTATCTGTCTCACAGGCCGTGATGAAAATACCCCAGCAGCAGGGTATTTAACCATTGTATGTAGAAGGTCCGTATTTATTCAGAAGGTTTATTTTTCCCCTAATTTACTTTGCTTTTCATAGTCAGTCCCCTGAACGATTATAAGTAGATGCTTATCAATAAGATACTGTATTTCTATGTTGAGGTTTTGTTTCCCAGAAAAGCCTAAAGTTCAAACAAATGGCGGGGTGGTGGCATTGTGACGCGGTCACTGAATATTCCGTTTACCTTTGCAGGCTGAATTTGGTCAGAAGAGAATCCATCTGAACAGCCAGTTTCCAGGGACAGAGCGACTTTCCAATACCTGTAACGTTTCCATCCGGGGACCCCAGCTTCAAGGTGACTGCCCACCTCCTCCTGTCCCTCTGTGGTTGGTTAGTGTCTCTCCAGAGCCGCGCAGTTCCCGCTCGGAGCCGGCGCCTCCTTGCTCTCGCTCCGTAGGACAGCTGTGTTGTCGCCAGGGCTCGGCCCAGCCATGAGGGTGGACGGTCCCTGGCCATCGGCATCTTTTCTTTCTCTGCCTTTGCTCATTTCACTAACGCTTCCAAAGTGAGTAGTTCTCAGCTCTCTCAACAGTCAGCACCCACCCCAAGGGCGGTCAGGTAAGAAGGTAAAACTCAATTTTAGACTAGCTAGTTGGTGCTATTTTTGCTGGCAGTGTTTGTTGTTGTCGGGTGCCGTCGAGTCCGTTCTGACTCCCAGCGACCCCGTGCACAACAGAACGAAATGCTGCCCAGTCCCGCGCCATCCTCACAGTCGTTGCTGTGTTTGAGCCCATTGTTGCAGCCACTGTGTCAATCCATCTCCTTGAGCGTCTTCCTCTTTTTTGGCTGATCTTCTACTTTACCAAGCATGATGTCCTTCTCCAGGGACTGGTCCCTCCTGACAACATGTCCAAAATGTGTGAGAAGTAGTCTCGCCGTCCTTGCTTCTAAGGAGCATTCTGGTTGTACTTCTTCCAAGACAGATTTGTTTGTTCTTTGGGCAGTCCAGGGCATGTTCAATATTCTTCGCTAACACCACCACTCAAAGGCGTCAGTTCTTCTTTGATCTTCCTTATTCATTGTCGAGCTTTCACATGCATGCATCTGAGGTGATTGAAAACACCATGGCTTGGGTCAAGCATACCTTAGTCTTCAAGGTGACATCTTTGCTTTTTAACACTTTAAAGAGGTCTTTTGCAGCAGATTTGCCCAATAGAACTTGGCTGCTAACCAAAAGGTTGGCAGTTCAAATCCACAAGCCACCCCTTGAAAACCCCTCTGGGCAGTTCTACTCTGTCCTGTAGGGTCGCTCTGGGTGGGAATAGACTCGACAACAGGTTCGGTTTTAGCAATGTTTAGAAGCTATTTTATGAGCGTGAGGGAAAATGGAGGCTATGATTTAAAAACTGGCTAAGCGTGAGGACTGAACACAAGTCTGTGGATTTTGTTGGTCCTGCGATCTCTCCTCCCACTGCCAGAAACTGGGGAGTCAGTTATATTCCAAACACAGGTCAAACTGGGCTGGCCCCGAGTCCCTGAGCGCGAAGGTCTGGGGCGTTGACCCAGCATGTGTTCATTTGGGAGGGGAAGACAGTGGGCCTGAGACCACGAGAGGGCTTGTTAGAAGATGGGGGTGGTGTTGCTTTCTTGTCCTGCTGGGTCACACAGAGACAGGTGGCAGGAACAGTGGGACTGTGAAGAGACGACGTGGGTGGGCCTCCTGAGGCTGTGCCATCGAGAGCTTGGGGGGGAGCATGCTCCCTGGGAAGGGTGTCCCTACAGGCGGCCTCTGTCCGTCTGTCCCCTTGTTCTGGGGCAGCGTTTGTGGTCAGCGGTCACCTGTGTTCGCTGCAGTGAGCCAGGCTCTCATTTCATCACAAAGCAGATCCTTTTAACGTGTGTGCTTATGCAAGAAGCAGGAAGTGTCTTCTGGCTTAAAAAAAGAACTCACACGTGTGTGTACATTTGCGAAAACACAGATGTAAACTTGAATATTATTTCCAGGGCAACTAGTTACTAAGTAAGGTGCCCTCCAAGACAATCGGTTAGACTCACAATTTCAAGGCCGGTCTTAGGAGGCAATACAGCCAGAATGCTCCTTAGAAGCAAGGATGGTGAGATTTTGTCTCACGTACTTTGGACATGTTATCAGGAGGGACCAGTCCCTGGAGAAGGATGTCATGCTTGGTAAAGTAGAGGGTCAGCAAAGAAGAGGAAGACCTTCAACGAGATGGACTGACAGTGGCCGCAATGATGAGCTCAAGTGTAACAACTGTGAGGATGGCGCAGGACCGGGCAGTGTTTTGTTCTCTCATACACAGGGTCGCTGTGAGTCGGAAACGACTCGACGGCACGTAACAACAACCACAACTCAGGGGGCAGACCGCTCTGCTCTCCTGCAGCCCAGGGGAGGAGGAGACGTGTGTGGGTCTTGCAGAGCTTCTCTCCCCATGCAGGGCCATCCCCGGAACTCCATGGGGGCGTGAAGGGGACAGGCCAGCCTGAGAAGCCCCCAGTGCAGCGTGGGCAGGAGGGTGGACGGGCGCGCACAGTGGGGACACAGCTCTGGTCTCAGGACTGTGCTCTTCTCCGCAGGCCGCCTGGTGCTCGCCCAGTGCAGGACGCTGCTGGCCAGCGTGGGCGCCGCCTGCCACTCGGACCTTGGGGACCGGTAAGTGCCCCCGTGTGCTCGCTCACAGTGTGATGGGGTCACTGCATCACTGCCTGGCGGAGTCACAGGAAAGTGGAGAGGTGGAGGCCCCACCTACAAGGGCCCGCAGGAGGGGAGGAGAGGGCAGCCTTCCTGGAGGAAGTGGCCTCTGGGCTTAACCAGAAGAAGAGGGGCTTTGTGGAGAGGGAACGGTCTTGTACCCAGGTCCTGTAGGGAGGGAGAGGAGAGGAGGCCACACTCACCCAGCCTCAGGAAGACGGAGCTAGTTCAGGGTTTGGGCCGACTGGTGACCATCCGGTGTAGGTTCTGGAAAGCTCCCTGCTGCCGTGTATGGATGGGTATCAGCTGTGGTCCTGGGGAAGGAGGGCACAGTGACATCTCTCCCCAGCCCTGTCCGGGATGGACATTTACGTGGATAGACTGGGTGGGTGCAGGTGCTATAATCACGCACGATCACAGTGGGGTTTGTGAGTCTGTGGATAGCTGCAGGGCTGACCTTGAACCTTAAACAGCCTGTGGGCTGCAGGCACAGCCCCTCCTCAGAGAAGCGTCCTGCTCTGTAGTGATTTCCTAAGTCAGTAAGCATTTGTGGGGCCCTACTGTGTGCAAGGATCCCTGGTGGTGCAGTGGTTAAAGCGATCCTCTGCTGACCAAAAGGTTGGCGGTTCAAAAGCGCGGGAGAAAGATGTGGCAGTCCACTTCCCTAGAGATTTACAGCCTTGGAAATGGGGTCATTATGAGTCGGGATCGACTCAGCAGCAGTTCAGCTTTCTGGTTCAAACCCACCAGCCACTCGGAGGGAGAAAGGCTTGGCAATCTGCTTCTGTAAAGAGTACAGCCTTGAAAACCCCCTGGGACAGTTCTACTCTGTCAGGTAGGGTTGCTATGAGTCGGAATCCACTCGAAGGCACACAACAACAGTGTATGCAAATAAGGTGCCTGGGTGGTGCAGACAGTTCGCCCTTGGCTGCCAAGGTCGGCAGTTTGAACCTGCCACCAGTACCACAGAAGAAATGCCTGGCCATCTGCTTCCAAGAGGATTGTGAACGCACAGGGTTGCCGTCCTCAGAATCAGCTGGATGGGTTTTTTTATTTTTACTTTTTGGTTTAGTGTATGTAAGGCACGGACCTCAGTGCTGTGGAAAATCCCAAACCGAGTCAGCCGGGCCACAGGCCCCGACACCTGGTAGGGGGCACACATTCTGTGTTTCCTGTTTGAATCCGAGTCTCCCAAGACCTCTTAAACTCCTCAAGGACAAAGTCCCGTTGCCCCAGAGCATAGTACCAAGGGGCCCAGCTTGCTGGGTGGAGCTGATGTCCCCCTGCGGGGTAGAAAGGCCTAGAGCTATGAGGGCCTCAGGCTGGGAGGGGAGCAGACCGGTCAAGCTGGGTTAGAGGTATGTTCGTCCAGGAGTCCAGTGGGGTGAGGGCCCAGGGTGAGGGGAGGTGGGCGCTGTGGACATAGCAGGGGGACTTGGCCTTGGGCAGGAGGCCCAACTCAGTACCTTGGCTGGGAGCAGGATGAGAAAGGCCTTGTCCTCACATCCAGAGGAGCGTGATGGGGACGTGCCCTCCCCAACAGAGCTGATGGGCCCCTCTGCCCTGCAGGCCCTCCCCGGTGCTGCTGAGCTCTGGCGTCCCTTTCGATGTGGCCAGGAACGCGCTCCGGCTCAGTGTGGGGCGCAGCACCACGAAGGCTGAGGTGGACCTTGTCGTGGAGGACCTGAAGCAGGCTGTGGCCCGGCTGGAGGGCTCCGCCTAGGGCGGGGGGAGCCTGTCCCGCTGTGAGCACCTGACCTCAGTGCTCTGCCTCATAGGAGCCAGGAGCCCGGGCTGCAGGCACCTCGCTTCCCCTGGGCGGTGGAAACGCACCCAGGTCTCTCCCCCAGGGCGGCACGTGGGCACCTCCCTTCCCCTGGGCAGTGGAAACACACCCTCGTCTCCCTGCAAGGGCTGCCCGTGCGCCAGCGCCCTCGTCTCCCCCAGGGCGGCCGGGATGAGAGTTTTCCTGACGTCTCCACGTCTTCGCTTTGTCCTGGTATGTGAGGGCCGGTGACTTGGAAGCACCTGTGCTCTGGGCTTCCTCTTCTTGACGGAGAGTCTGGACGGGCTGCCAGGCACACAAACCCCAGTGGTCCTTACAGGCCCAGGACAGGGGTGCCCCTTGGACAGTCACTCAAAGACCCAGGACACACACACCCACATAGGACAGTCACTCATAGACCCAGGACACACACACCCACATAGGACAGTCACTCATAGACCCAGGACACACACACCCACATAGGACAGTCACTCATAGGCCCAGGACACACACACCCACATAGGACAGTCACTCATAGGCCCAGGACACACACACCCACATAGGACAGTCACTCATAGACCCAGGACACACACGCCCACATAGGACAGTCACTCATAGACCCAGGACACACACGCCCACATAGGACAGTCACTCACAGGCCCAGGAC